TATGATTTAAAATAGTCATTTTTATTAAGAATATTACTATTAGCAGTAAAAATAATAACTTGACACTTGCCAATATTTTAATTTTAATACCTCGTGTAGTTTAGAATAATTTTGTTGTTGCATTATTATGATCATCTTGATAACGGAAAAATCTTTGATCTTTTAATACATTTACGCCTTTCATCCATAACTCCATTTTTAAATGCTAAATCATTAAGATTAATACATGGAATAACGTTTGTTGGCACCAATGACAAAATATCAAATTGTCCCTCCTCAATATTTGGTGATTTTGTTTTTGTGGTAATAGATGATGTTATCAATGATGAATTGTTTATTGACTCGTCTTTCTCATTGATTTCCTCTACCTTTTTACCCTTTACTTTTATTCTTACATTTTCTTCTTCTTTTTCTTTTTTTGTGCAATGCCCAAATTAAGTGTTTGGTTGTCGACGTTAGCATCAGCAGTTTGGTTTGACATCTCAGGCAATTCAGTATTATTTGGATTTTCTTTCTCGTCAGTTTTGTCTAATTCTACTGGGGGATTGGGTTGTGCTGTGCTCTCTTTAATTGATAGATCATTTTGTTCTTGGACAATTTGATTTTCCATTTTTCCCTAAAAAAAAAAAGCTTATCATTACTATTACGCGTCAATTCCACCTAAATATACTTATCAAAAATTAATTGTTATCAAATTAGGAAGTTAATGTAATTCCGTTATCCAATCAGTATAAAATAACTTTTTTACCTTTATAACTTTACTCTTTTTTTTATGGTTTTTTTAGCAAATATATCCAACCAAAATGGCAGAATATTTAGCATCAATATACAGCACTGAAAAAGACAAGTATGTTTGAATCAATTAGTTATTTAAATTAATTTGATTATTTAACGGTGGAAAACTTATTTTATTGTTGGCACGTTACTAACCATATGTGCTGAAATTTTGGAAAAAAAAAAGCATTTCTTTTATATATGGGTAAGATATTCACTCATTCACATTTCCACAAAAAATTTCAGCGCATATGCCTTTAGTTTCGGTGATAACTTTTTATTGTTCTTTTTATTTCAAAATTGGAGCTTGTAGCACGGTGATCGATGCAGTAGAAAACATGTTAAACCAACAATCCTTTGTTCAAATATTTATCAAACCCTTTCTGCACATGACACTAATTGTGATATGACTGATGAGCAAGTTCAGGCGTGATTTTTATGAAGACTTTTTATTGAGCTTTGTAAATATGGTGAAGTTGAAGAAATTCATGTATGTGATCATTTAATATGAAGATGTGCAAAAGACTGCTGATAATTTGAATCAAAGATTTTATGCTGGTATTTATTATTATAAATTGTCCATCAAATTGTCTACCATCTAATTTTATTATTAATTTAAATATTCTTAAAATGGATAAACAATAATATTAAAAGGTCGACCAATTTATGCTGAATTATCACCAGTGACAGATTTTCGTGAAGCATGTTGTCGTCAAAATGAAAATGCTGAATGTACCAGAGGTGGATTTTGTAATTTTATGCATCTAAAGGAAGTATCTCGTTATTTGAAAAAAGAATTATTTGTAGCTCAACGTAATTATTTAAGAGAACAAAGGAGGAAAAGGGAAAGAGAAAGAAGTGTAGAAAGTGTAATTGCATGATTTTCATCTATTAAACAAATTTAATAATAATAAGAGTACCATAATAATAACGGTAAAGTGCAAATTATAATCTATTATCATCTCATTAATGAATATATTTTTAGTATTTTCTGGCAGATAATTGTCTGAATGTTCAACTAATAAGGAATTTATTAATTGACTTTCCCTAGA